ACAGCCCTCACGAGGTTCGTGGCCCCATAGGGAGCTCCACCGAATGCGCCAGTGGCAGCCTCCCTCAAGGCTCTCAGAGCCCTCTCCTGCTTCTGTTCCTTGGTCACGGGGGCGCCGTCCTCGTCGTCGTCGGCTCCCGCGACAATGGCCGCGAACGTGTCCGTGAGCATGTCGGGCTCCGGCGGGAAGCCGTGGCCACATAGGGATCGCGGGCGAAGATGGTATCCACAATCGCGGTATTCACAGCTGCGTATGGTTGGGCCCTTCGCCAGGCTAATTCGGTTTTTTTTAACGTTTCGTCCAAAATCCGCTTGTATGGGGGACAGGCACGACCTAACTCTACCCACTCCTTTCGTCCTCCCCCGAGATCCGGGCGTGGCAACTTTGTCGCACGGGGCGCTTCCGCCTGGTCCCGGGGCACGGGACCGTCACAGATCGATCCGGCTTGAGAATTGCCGCAGGAACATGGCGTCTGGGGTCATGGTCGCATTTTTTTCGCGATGCGTTTTTATTGTTTTTCTCAACCATTCCGTGGTGTTGGGTCCTCGTTTTGAAGAGACGGTCCCTGCGTTCTCTCCTTCCTTCCTCCGTCCTCCCTCCCCCGTCTCCCCCCTCCCTGCGTTGCACCCACCTAATGCAACGCTTTGTGGCCCCATAGGGAGCTCCACCGAAGGCCCCACTGGCAGGGTTCGCATGGCGACCTCGGGCCAATGCAGCACGCCCTTCACGAGGACCGTGGCCCCATGGGAGCTCCACCGAAGGCCCCACATGCAGGGTTCGCATGGCGGCCTCGGGCCATTTCGGCACACCCTTCACAAGGATCGTGGCCCCATAGGGAGCTCCACCGAAAATTCCTGTGGCACGGTTTGCATGGCGGCTTCGGGCCATTTCGGCACACCCCTCACGAGGATCGTGGCCCCATAGGGAGCTCCACCGATGACCCCAGCGGCAGGAGGGTTCGCATGGCGGCCTTGGGCCATTTCGGCACACCCCTGACGAGGTTCGTGGCCCCATAGGGAGCTCCACCGAAGGCGCCAGTGGCAGCCTCCCTCAAGGCTCTCAGAGCCCTCTCCTGCTTCTGTTCCTTGGTCACGGGGACGCCGTCCTCGTCGTCGTCGGCTCCCGCGACAATGGCCGCGAACGTGTCCGTGAGCATGTCGGGCTCCGGCGGGAAGCCGTGGCCACATAGGGATCGCGGGCGAAGATGGTATCCACAATCGCGGTGTTCACGGCTGCGTATGGTTGGGTCCTTCGCCAGGCTAATTTGGATATTTTTACGTTTCGTCCAAAATCCGCTTGTATGGGGGACAGGCACGACCTAATTCTACCCACTCCTTTCGTCCTCCCCCGAGATCCGGGCTTGGCAATTTTGTCGCACGGGGCGCTTCCGCCTGGTCCCGGGGCACGGGACCGTCACAGATCGATCCGGCTTGAGAATTGCCGCAGGAACATGGCGTCTGGGGTCATGGTCGCATTTTTTTCGCGATGCGTTTTTATTGTTTTTCTCAACCATTCCGTGGTGTTGGGTCCTCGTTTTGAAGAGACGGTCCCTGCGTTCTCTCCTTCCTTCCTCCGTCCTCCCTCCCCCGTCTCCCCCCTCCCTGCGTTGCACCCACCCAATGTAACGCTTTGTGGCCCCATAGGGAGCTCCACCGAAAGCCCCACTGGCAGGGTTCGCATGGCGACCTCGGGCCAATGCAGCACGCCCTTCACGAGGACCGTGGCCCCATGGGAGCTCCACCGAAGGCCCCACATGCAGGGTTCGCATGGCGGCCTCGGGCCATTTCGGCACACCCTTCACAAGGATCGTGGCCCCATAGGGAGCTCCACCGAAAATGCCAGTGGCACGGTTTGCATGGCGGCTTCGGGCCATTTCGGCACACCCCTCACGAGGATCGTGGCCCCGTTGGGAGCTCCACCGAAGGCGCCAGTGGCAGGGTTCACAGTGCGGCCTCGAGCCATGTTGGCACACCCGTCACGAGGATTGTGGCCCCATGTGGAGATCCACCGAAGGCGCCAGTAGCAGGGTTCGCATGGCGGCCTCGGGCCATTTCGGCACACCCCTCACGAGGATCGTCGTGGCCCCATAGTAACTCCACCGAAGGCGCCAGTGGCAGGGTTCGCATGGCGGCCTCGGGCCACGTCGGCACACCCCTCACAAGGATCGTGGCCCCATAGGGAGCTCCACCGAAGGCCCCAACGGCAGGGTTCGCATGGCGGCCTCGGGCTACGAGGATCGTGGCCCCATGGGGAGATCCAGCGGAGGCCCCAGCGGCAGGGTTCGCATGGCGGCCTCGGGCCATTTCGGCACACCCCTCACGAGGATCGTGGCCCCACAGGGAGCTGCACCGAAGGCGCCAGTGGCAGGGTTCGCGTGGCGGCCTCGGGCCCTTCTGGCACACCCCTCACGAGGATCGTGGCCCCAGAGGGAGCTCCTCCGACGGCCCCAACGGCAGGGTTTGCATGGCGGCCTCGGGCCATTTCGGCACACCCGTCACAAGGATCGTGGCCCCATAGGGAGCTCCACCGAAGGCCCCATCGGCAGCCCCCCCCAAGGCTCTCAGAGCCCTCTCCTGCTTCTGTTCCTTGGTCAGGGGGGCGCCGTCCTCGTCGTCGTCGGCTCCCGCGAAGATGGCCACGAGCGTGTCCCTGAGCATGTCGGGCTCCGGCGGGAAGCCGTGGCCACATAGGGAGCGCGGGTGAAGATGGTATTCACAATTGCGGTACTCACAATTGCCCATGGTTGGGTCTTTCGCTATTTTTTTTTCAGCGTCGGATCTCAGGGATCGCCCTCGCCATGGTCCTCGCCCTCCTCCCCCATCCCCTCCGTCTCCCCCCTAACCTCCATGCTCTTTTCCCCTCCCTCCCTCCTCGTCCCTGCAGCCTCCTTCCCCTCCTGTCCCCTTCTTTTTGTTCTCCCATATCGCTCCGTATGGAGAGGAGGAGGAGGAAGAGGAGGAGGAAGAGGAGGAGGAGGAGGAGGAGGAGCAGGAAGAGGATTAGGAAGAGGAGGAGAAGCAGGAGGAGGAAGAGGAGGAGGAGGAGGAGGAGGAGCATAACATATAACACGCACCTCTGGCGTCGTACCTCCGACGTCGTGTTTTCGTTTCGTGACCCAAGTCCCCTGAGCATTCGGCCGCGACCCCATCCTTGGGATCTGTTGTCGTCGCGGGGGCTCGCTTGATGCACCCAAGGCCCGTGTCAGGGGCAGCGTTGGAAGTTAGGAAGGGATGCGCTCAGGGGGGCGCATCGACTCTCCATCGCCCGGTGATCGCCGACAGGGGCCTGTGCGGATTCGCTATCGGGGGCCTATCGCCGATCGATCGGCGACGTCTCGCCGACTCCAGTTCCATGTTCCCTATTGGGCCGTCTGGGGCGCTTCGTGGGCGCCTCTGGGGCCGTCTTGGGGCGCTCTTCGGCTGTCTTGGGGCCCTCTCGGAGGCCTTTTGGGCCGTTTTGGGGGTGGTCTTGGGCTTGGCATAGCTCGGACGTGTGCATTTTTCCTTCGGCGAGGACCATCGAGGAGCATCCTTGATCATTTGGCGAAAAAGCCACGCACGAAGTCGAAACAAACCACAGGGAATGGACGTCCGAGCGATGGCCAGTGGGGGCCTGCTGGGCCGTCTCGGAGCGTGGGGAGGCCGAGAAGGCAAGAGCGCCCAAATCGTTTAACAGCGCAAGGAAACGCAATGATGTTTGCCTTGGAGGGCCCTCTTGGGAGACCTCTTGGAGGCCTCGTGGGGCGCCTTGGAAGCCTCTTGCTCCATCTCGAGGTCTCTCGGCGACCCGGGGCCCTATTGGACCGTTTTGCGGGCTTTCTGGGCAGTCATGGAAGCCTTGGAGAGCTTCAGAGAGGCGCCATGGCCGCCCAGGGACCCCCCCTGGAGCGTGGCCGGTGCACGCAGCGAGGTGCGGCCGGGAGAGGGGGGGGGCCTTTTAGAAGATTACAAAGACTTTACCAGACAGCACCTGGCGCTCGAGCACGCCTCAACGTGCCAGGGGGCACGCTGGCGCATAATGCCACCGCGACATTCTGGACATGGAAAACTTACTCTCACCCGATACATTTGGTTGAATTTGGAATGGGGGACTTACACTCACACGCTACAGTTGTTGAGTTTAGAGAATGCCTGGAACTGTAGGAATCCTATGGCTGTCGCGCCCCAGTCTTCTTCTCTTGACATGGCAGACATGGGACGTTGAGATTCCATTGCCCCATGCCGCCCTGTCTTGACTTGGTGGAGACGCGGTACTGTTCCTGTTGTTTGCAGTCCTCGTGGTGATTGTTCGTCGCGATCTCCACAAGTCTTGGGGGCCCCGACTCTCTAGTTCAGACGTTCTTGAGGCCTTTCTATTTCTCTGGAGGCATACTCGGTGACGCTGGCCAGCCGGCCATCAACACCGAGACTTGCCAGGGCAGTTCTGGGCGCAGGATGGGTGCATACCGCCTCCTGCTCCGTGTCGAGCCATCAGGGCTCAACCGCCGATGCTGTGCCTGGTGTTGGCCTGGCAAGGATCGGTGCTCAATGCACACCCTGCGTCCTGTCATGTAAGTACCGTCAGCCCGCACAGTACGGATGACCAACTTTCCAGGGTCATCGTTCCCTCTGGCCCATCGTTGGCCGCTTTCGCTGGCCGCGCGCGCGCGTCATTGTTCTACGGGTTGACTGCCGCTGGCCGCGCCCCGCTCGCGAAGTGCCGACATGGCCTTCCGAGGCCCTTGCGTCCTTATCTTGCGTCCATGTTGTGCGGGTTGACTGTCCGGCGCCCTATCCTGTAAGCAGGTGTGATTGCTTCTCCTCGACTGCACGTAAGCGTGACCTTTCGCCGGAGCGACCTTTGGTGCGGGCCCATTGGGGTTCCCCCGATCGCCGAACGCGATGCGAGAGTATGCCTTTTGCCCGCTTGTGTTTGGTCCCCCCCCGGCCCCCAGTGAGCCGCGCACCAAAGGTCACGCTTACCCGGGGTCACTCTTACGCGCAGCCGACTCTCAGCACGAGGCCTCCTCGGCGCTCCGGGGGCTGCGCAGGGCCGCCCTGGAGCCGACGGCCGCCAGCTACCTGGCGGCGATCGGCGCCTGCCGGAGGGTGGTCGGCGGCACGCGCCAAGGGCAGGTCACAGAAGGGCGCCCTCGAGTGGTCGGCGGCACGCGCCAAGGGCAGGTCACAGAAGGGCGCCATCGAGGGTCCGCGCTTCGCGATTGGGCTCCAGTTCCTCCTCTTCTCCTCTGGGGGGTGGCGCGAGAGCGCGAAGTGACGCGCGCTTCGCGCAGCGCGCTGCGCGAAGTCAGGCGCCCGTGGATACAGTGCCCTGCCAGTGGGCCCTTGACCTGCTCGTGATCCTCATCATCCTTGCGGCTCCCTTTTTTGCTCGTGTTAAGTCGGGCCTGTCCCTCTACAGGAGGAAAATCCAAAAATCATAAAAATTAGCTTGGCGCAGGACTCAACCATACGCAGCTGTGAATACCGCAATTCTTAATACCATCTTCGCCCGCGCCCCCTATGTGGCCACGGTTCCCCGCCGGAGCCCGACATGCTCAGGGACATGTTCATGGCCGTCTTCGCGGGCGCCGACGACGACGAGAACGGCGCCCCGTTGACCGAGGAGCAGAAGCAGGAGAGGGCTCTGAGAGCCATGAGGGAGACTGCTACTGGCGCCTTCGGTGGAGTTTCCTACGGGGCCACGATACTGGTGAGGGGTGTGCCGAAATGGCCCGAGGCCGCCATGCGAACCCTGCCGCTGGCGCCTTCGGTGGAGCTCCTGTGGGGCCACGATCCTCGTGAGGGGTGTGCCGAAATGGCCCGAGGCCGTCACGCGAACCCTGCCACTGGGGCCTTCGGTGGAGCTTCTATGGGGCCACGATCCATGCGAGGGGTGCTCCGACATGGCCCGATGCCGCCACGCGAACCCTGCCGCTGGGGCCTTCGGTGGATCTCCCTATGGGGCCACGATCCTCGTGGGGCGCGTGCCCGAATGGCCCGAGGCCGCCGCGCGAACTCTGCCACTGGCGCCCCCTACGGGGCCACGATCTTCGGGTGCGCCGACATGGCCCGAGGCCGCCGTGCGAACCCTGCCACTGGCGCCTTTCGGTGGAGCTCCCTGTGAGGCCACGATCCTCGTAAGGGTTGTGCCGAAATGGCCCGAGGCCGCCATGCGAACCCTGCCACAGGCGCCTTCGGTGGAGCTTCTATGGGGCCACGATCCTATTTTAAAAAAGGCAAGCCGAAATTGCCCGAGGCTACCATGCGAACCTTGCTATTGGCGCCTTCGGTGGAATTCCCCATAAGGGGCCACGATATTCGTGAGGGGTGTAAGGAAATTGCCAGAGGCTGCCACGCGAACCCTGCCACTGGGGCCGTCGGTGGAGCTCCCTATGGGGCCACGATCCTCGTGGGGCGCGTGCCCGAATGGCCCGAGGCCGCCGCGCGAACTCTGCCACTGGCGTTCCCTACGGGGCCACGATCTTCGGGTGCGCCGACATGGCCCGAGACCGCCATGCGAACCCTGCTACAGGCGCATTCGGTGGAGCTCCTACGGGGCCACTTGGGGCCTTCGGTGGAGCTCTTATGGGGCCACGATTCCTGTAAAGGGCGAGCCGAGATGGCCCGAGGCTGCCATGCTAACCTTGCTATTGGCGCCTTCGGTGGAGCTCCCAATGGGGCCACGATCCTCGTGAGGGGTGTGCCCAAATGGCCCTAGGCCGCCATCCCGAAATCGCCCGAAGCCGCCGTGAGAACCCTTGCCACCTGTGCCTTCGGTGGAGCCTTCATGCGGCCACGATCCTCGTGATGGGTGCGCCGACATGGCCCGAAACCGCCATGCGAACCCTGTCACCCGGGGCTCCGGTGGAGCTCTTTATGCGGCCACGAAGCGCTGTATTGGGTGGGTGGAACGCAGGGAAAGGGGCGTAGGGGGAGAACGGAAAGACGGAACGCGGGGATTGTCTCTTCAAAACCAGGACCCGACACCGCAGGATGGTTCGGAAAATCGTATGGGGACGATTGTTCAAGTATTTTTGGTTGCGTAGTACCCCCGTAGGTGGATGGGTCACGAGCGGGTCGCGGGGTGGGTCGCGGGTGGGTCGTGGGGTGGGTCGCGGGTGGGTCGCGGGGGTAAGGACGACAACAAACAACAACTGCACCAACAACAGCAACAGCAACAACAACAGCAACAACAACGCAACACACATAATCTTCACCACGGACCCGCAGTTAAGCCACGCACCCAGGGACAATGAATGACCGCTCGGCCCCCTCACCCTGATGGTTTACATGTGTATTGTATTTTTGTTTCTCCAAACCCCTTGTGTAGGAAGACATGCCCGACCTAATTCTCGTGCCCCCACATGCACCTCCCTGCCTTGCCAGCCACTCCACTCCTCCTCCTCCCCCTCCCCCACCTCGTGTTCCTCCTCCTGGGTATGATTGTGACTCGAGCGGTTTTCGCCATTCCGCAGCCCCCAAGAAGAGGGTATGAGCGGCTTCGAACTTCTTATGTTTTGTTTGCCGTTTCCTGGCGTTCTGTTTGCGTGTGGTTGTTGTTGAGCTGTCCGCTTCCTCCGCGTCTGTTTGGGAGTTTCTTGCGGGCCTCTTGGAGGCCTCAGGGGCGGCCTCGTGGGGGCCGTTCCAGGGCTCACAAGTCTTTTGGGGCCCCCCCTGGTGTTCATCCAGCTTCCTGCGGCGAACCCCGCCACCGTGCCTGCGCAACACCGCAGCAGGACGTCTGCATCGTTTAGCCGATCCCCATTCTCATCCCCATCCCCTTCGAGACCCTCGCCAAATTGCCACCCCAGTTGGGGATACACACCCCTCGAAACCCGAAGGAGACAACCTATATCCCCATCTGGGGGGGTAACTCGGCCAGTGGGGCCCAGGCCACGCCGCTGGGGATGGGGATCGGTTACTCAGGACGGAGGCTGAGTGTAGGAAAAGCGCAATTCTCGACGACTGGTTTGAACTGGGACGGGTCGTGACCTCGATTTCGTCTTCGATAGCGCGGTAGGGGGTGGTCGATGTCAAGCCCCGTTGCAGTTCAGCGAATAGTCTGAACTGAGGCTTGTCGTGGACTCGACCTCATCTTTGTCCGCGCGGTCGGGAGGAAGAGAAGGAGGAGGAAGAGGAGCGATGAGGCTGAGCACCAGGAGGAGGATACCGACGATGAGAATGATGATGAGTGTGATGATGGTGATGATGATGATGATTCTGAGGAGGAGGAGGAGGAGGAGGAGGGGGAGGAGGAAGAGGAGGGGGAGGAGGAGGGGGAGGAGGAGAGAGAGACAATGACGACAAGGAGAAGACGACCTCTTCGAAGCTCTCTGTAGGTTCCCTGGGAACCTGCTGGAGGCGTGTTGGGGGCCTCTTGGGGGCCTCCTTGGGCCTCGTGGTCTCTTGGGGGCCTCTTGGCCTGTCTGACGCCTTCGGAGGCCGTCTTGGGAGCCTCTTTGGGCCTGCTTGGCGCGCCTTAGGGCCGTCTTGGGACCCTCTTGGGAAGCTCTTGGGCGATCGTGGGGCCGTCTTTTTGGGCCTCATCGGCTGTTTTGGAGCTATCCTGGATGCGTCTTGGGCCGTCGTGGGCGGTCGGACACCCAAACAGGTGAGAGCCTCAACATCCTTTAAACACCTACGGGCAATCCATGTCTGGCCCGTCTGAAGCCTTCGGAGGTCGTCTTGGGTCTGCGCCGGCTTGGTGCCCTCTTGCAGCGCTTTGGGGCTGTCTTGGGGCCCTCTTGGGAGACTCTTGGGCGATCTTGGGGTCCTCTTGGGCCGACTTGGGGCACTCCTTGAGGGCCTCATGGGGTGTCTTGGAACCACAGTCGGACGGGGGTATAGGATCGAGGTCGGTTCGTGGAGGGTACCCTAACGTTCTTCGTGCTTGTTGGATGTTGTTGTGCATCCTGATTAGGGTTCCCTTGGATGTTCTGTGTGCTTGGGCCGGTGGAGGGTCCCATGTTCTTGACGGATGTTGTTCTGCCTTAGGCTCGACCGTATTTTGGATGCCTCTCAGGCGGTCTTGGGCGGTCGGGAGCCCAGACAGGTAAGAACGTCGGCATCCCTCGACACGTGTAGGCAATACTCAGGAGGGGGAAAACACACACACAGACACAATGAATCCTCGATTCCCAGGAAAATATGGGAAAATATGGGAAGTGGGGGGGAAGACAGAAACCCAGAAAGTATGGGAAAATATGGGGAATCCTTTTATTTGTGTGTCCCAGGGCCCCTTCAAATACAGCTGTTGCGCCTCCTTGGAAGCCTCTTGGGGCCTCTTGGGGACCTCTTGGGGCATCTTGGGCCGTCTCGGGGGGCTCTTGGCCCGTCTGACGCCTTCGGAGGCCGTCTTGGGAGCCTCTTCGGGCCGCCTCGGTGCCCTCTTAGAGCGCTTTAGGGCGATCTCTGGGCCCTCTCGGAAGGCTCCTGGGCGATCTCGGGATCCTCTTGGGCCGACTCGGGGCCCTGTTCGGGCGCCTCTTGAACCGTCCTGGGGCTATCTGGAAGGCTTCTTGCCAGGGCCAGGAGGAACAACACGGTTAACTCTTGGCATCAGAAAGAAGCCTTCGCCATGCCCCTCCCCGCTTCTGTTCCGCCTGCCCTCGGCGCGGCCTAGTTAGAAACATGTACCTATCCCTATGTTTGACATCACCTCACCTCGATGCCGACCTTAAGGATTCCCTCAGTTTTTGATGGCCTATCCCTAAGATTGTCCTCGCTTTTAGCTCGCCCATCTTAGGGATAGGGATACGTTCGAGGCTGGTTAGAACACACAACACACCGGCCCAAACAAGTCGGCAGGGCCCCCCAAAACAGGCCGCGGGAAAAGGCTTAACCATGGACATCCCCGCCCAAGCGAAAGCATAGGCTGTGCAGCCCCCGGAGGCGTCGGTGAACAAGGCGACGATCTTCAGATCGAGCCATCTGGTGACGGATCCAAGCGAGGGGTCATTGAACACAGATTAAGTTAAAAAACGTGTTTGTATGTGTGTTGTCCGCTTCTTATGTTTGACAGTCTCGGGCGGTCGGAAACACAGGCGAGAACTTCAAAATCTGTCAAAAGCATCGGGAATCAATGGTTGCTCCCTCCTCGGTCCTTCTGGAGGGCCTCTTCGTGCCCTCTTTGAGCGTCTCGGGAGCCTCGTGAGCCGTCTTGAGGCCATCTTGTGAACATGCTGAGCTGTCTTGAGCCATATTGAGCCGTAGTGTCATCTTGGCTGCCTTAGAAGCCGTTTTGGAGTCCGTCTTGGTTGTCTGGATGCTCAAAAGAGCACCAGAAAGCAAACTGAGGAGGGACGGTTTTCAGACCACGCGCCGGTCGAGTTTGGCGGATTTCTATCATGATCTATACTCTCCTCCGCCACCGCCTCCTCTTCCTCGTCATCCTCCTGGGCACTAGTTAGTCTTCCTCTCCCCTCTCCCCCTCCCCCCTCCCCTTCCTGCCGTTCCTCCTCCTCTTTCTCCTTTCACCTTCTACTAAAATACCTTAGTCACACTAATATCATCGTCCCCCTGTCTCTGTCTGGAAGATGTCCCGCTCTTCGTGCATCTGGTTGTTTTTTCACACCGGCTTGGACAGGAGTAGGATGTCCTGTTGTTTTTGTCCAATCCGATTGTTTTTGGTGCTTCAACATGGTAACCGATTCTCCCCGGGGGTAATACAGTTCGGGGATCTGGCGGGGATAATCAACGATTTTCCCGGCGGATGATGATGACGACGATGATGATGATAATGATGATGATCATGATGATGATATTGATGATGATCTTGGGCGCTCGTGTAGACTGACCTTGTAGATCTTGGCACAAGACTGACCCTGTAGATCTTGGCACAAAAAGTAACTCCAATGCTCTGCCTGCTCGAAAACACATACAACTTCAAAATCCAATCGGTCCCCATTGATGGTCCTGCCACACGTTCCTGACTCGGGAACGGCTGAGAAAATTAAAATCCCATGGCCCTGCCGCACGTTGGTTACTCGGGAAAACAGAAATGGTGAGAATCCCATAGCCCTGCCACACGCTCGTGATTGCGGAAGCCGAAATGGTGAGACCACCATTGCCATGCTCAGCGTTTTTGATGTTGCCGCTAGTCAACATAAGATGATAGCAACTTCGATTCGCAACTACCCCAGGGATTATCAAGTTCGGCCTCCGCGCCCCTCTCCACAATCAAATCTTACTGGCACGGGAGAATACATACTCGGGGGGGAAAGGGGGGTATGCTTTATTATCGGGGGCAGTCGGTTCTTCTCGCTGCAGCGTGGGCCTCATTTTCGGATCGGCGCTTTGCTCTCGTTCAGACTGCCGCTCTCGCCCCTTGCGTGGGCCGCTTTTCTGGCTTCGAGTCCTTCCTCATCGTTGTCGCCCACCTTCTTTCCCCTCCTCCGCCTTCCCCTGGTCCTCCTGCTTCTCCCGCTCCTTCCACTCCAGTTCCTGCTGCCGCTGTTCGTCCGCGGCCTCCAACTCATCCTCATCCTCTTCCGTTTCCTCCTGCTCGTCCTCTTGCCCCCCCCTCATTTCTTTTTCCTTTTCCTCCTCCTGCTCCTCCTCCTCCTCCTCCTCCTCCTCCTCCTCCTCCTCCTGGGTACGCAGCTCCCCTTTGCCGATTGCGCATCGCACGATGGTGTTTATCCTGGAGTGCCAGGTCGGATATGAGACGCGCCCGCGGACAAAGACAAACCCAACGGGACCGTGAAAATCGGCGAAAGGGAGGGACACGGTGTCGTCGGATGTGGCGCGAGCGCGCGCCCGGCCTGCTCCCCTCCCCCCTCGTTCTCCCTCGTTCTCTCCGCCTCCCCGCCCCCCCCCTCCTCCTCGCCCCCCTCGGGTCCTCCCCCCCAGACGCTCCAACCTCGCCCTCTCTGGTCCTCTCCCCTGTTCCTCGCCCTCCTCCTCTCCTCCTCCTTCCTCCCCTGTTTTTTTTTATGTTTTTTTTTTCCTCGCCCTCTCCTCGTCTTCTCCCCCAATTCGCCGCCTCTCCTCCTCCTTCTCCTCATCAGCCCTCTAGCCTCGTACCTGCCCCTTCCTCAGCCGTCCCGCTCTCCCCCCCCTACCCCTCCCCCTCCTTCGTTCGTCCCCTCCTCGCCCTCGTTCCCCCCTCCCCCCCCCCCGCCCTCGCGCGGCGGCTCCTCCCCCTCGTGGCTCCCCCTCCTCGCCTCTCTCGCTGTTCGCATCTCCCTCTCGCCCACCCTCCTCCGTTCTCCTCCTCCTCCTCCTCGTTCTCTCTCCTCCTCCTCACTCCTCCTCCTCCTCCTCCTCCTCTGCTCTCTCCTCCTCCTCCTCCGCCATCCACCCTCCTCCTCCTCCTCCTCCTCCTCCTCCTCCTCCCTCCCTCCTCCTCCTCCTCCTCCTCCCCTCCTCCTTCCTCGTTCCCCCCCTGCGCCCCGCCCCCGCCCTCCTCGCCCCCGCCCCCCCCCCTCCTCGTCCCCAGGTGGACCACAGGCGGGCCCGCCGAAGGCCGGGCGCCGGCGGAGGGGGCGGCCAGCGGAGCTCCTGTGCGAGCTGCGCCGGCCTCGGCCGCGGCCTCAGTCAGCCACGCGCAGAGGGGGGTGGGGGGAGGGGGGAGGGCTTCTTAGAAGCCTCCTATCTACAGATGTAAGGATGGCGCCTTATCTATAGATGTAAGGCGGGCGCCTTCTTAGAAGGCGCGGGCCTTATCTACAGAGGTAAGGCTGGCGCCTTCTAAGAAGCAGCCTCCTTCTGAGAAGCCCTCCCCCCTCCCTCTACCCCCTTGTGCGCGCCGCCAATTCAGGGCCCGGCGGAATCTTGGTCGACAACGGCGACGGGGGATGGGTATCGTTTATCAGGAGGGCAAGAAACACACAGGCACAATTAATCGTCGGCTTCCAGGAAAATGTAGGCAAAATATGGGAAGTGAGGGGGAAGACGAGAACCCAGAAAATATTGGAAATTATCCTGGCGAAGGACCCAACCATATGCAGTTGTGAATACCGCAATTGTGGATACCATCTTCGCCCGCGCTCCCTATGTGGCCACGGCTTCCCGCCGGAGCCCGACATGCTCAGGGACACGTTCGTGGCCGTCTTCGCGGGCGCCGACGACGACAAGGACGGCGCCCCTCTCACCGAGGAGCACAAGCAGGAGAGGGCCTTGAGAGCCATGAGGGAGGAGGTGGCGTTGCACGTCGACAAGGCGGAGTACGACGCCCAGGCGCGGTTGTTGAAGCAGCACAAATATGGGGCCACGATCCTCATGAAGGATGTGCCGCAATGGCCTGGGGCCGCCATGCGAACCCTGCCACTGGCGCCTTCGGTGGAGCTCCCTATGGGGCCACGATCCTCGTGAGGGGTGTGCCGAAATGGCCCGAGGCCGCCATGCGAACCCTGCCACTGGCGCCTTCGGTGGAGCTCCCTATGGGGCCACGATCCTCGTGAGGGGTGTGCCGAAATGGCCCGAGGCCGCCATGCGAACTCTGCCACTGGCGCCTTCGGTGGAGCTCCCTATGGGGCCACGATCCTCGTGAGGGGTGTGCCGAAATGGCCCGAGGCCGCCATGCGAACCCTGCCACTGGCGCCTTCGGTGGAGCTCCCTATGGGGCCACGATCCTCGTGAGGGGTGCGCCGAAATGGCCCGAGGCCGCCATGCGAACCCTGCCACTGGGGGCAGTCGGTGGGGGCCCTATGGGGCCACGATCGTCGTGAGGGGTGTGCCGAAATGGCCCGAGGCCGCCATGCGAACCCTGTCCGCGTGAGGGGTGTGCCGAGATGGCCCGAGGCCGCCATGCGAACCCTGCCACTGGGGCCTTCGGTGGAGCTCCCTATGGGGCCACGATCCTCGTGATGGGTGCGCCGAAATGGCCCGAGGCCGCCATGCGAACCCTGCCACTGGAGCCTTCAGTGGAGCTTACTATGGGGCCACGATCCCCGTGAGGGGTGTGCCGAGATGGCCCGAGGCCGCCATGCGAACCCCGCCATCGGGGGCCTTAGGTGGAGCTCCCTTTGGGGCCACGATCCTCGAGAGCGGTGTGCCGAAATGGCCCGAGGCCGCCATGCGAACCTTGCCACTGGGGGCAGTCGGTGGAGCTCCCTATGGGGCCACGATCCTCGTGAAGGGTGTGCCGAAATGGCCCAAAGCCGCCATGCGAACCCTGCCACTGGCGCCTTCGGTGGAGCTCCCTATGTGGCCACGATCCTCGTGAGGGGTGTGCCGAAATGGCCCGAGGCCGCCATGCGAACCCTGCCACTGGGGCCTTCGGTGGAGCTCCCTATGGGGCCACGATCCTCGTGAGGGGTGCGCCGAAATGGCCCGAGGCCGCCATGCGAACCCTGCCAGTGGAGCCTTCAGTGGAGCTAACTATGGGGCCACGATCCCCGTGAGGGGTGTGCCGAGATGGCCCGAGGCCGCCATGCGAACCCGGCCACTGGAGCCTTAGGTGGAGTTCCCTATGGGGCCACGATCCTCGTGAGGGGTGTGCCGAAATGGCCCGAGGCCGCCATGCGAACCCTGCCACTGGGGGCAGCCGGTGGAGTGGGGCCACGATCCTCGTGAGGGGTGTGCCGGAATGGCCCGAGGCCGCCATGCGAACCTTGCCTCTGGCGCCTTCGGTGGAGCTCCCTATGTGGCTACGATCCTCGTGAGGGGTGTGCCAGAATGGCCCGAGGCCGCCGTGCGAACCTTGCCATTGGCGCCTTCGGTGGAGCTCCCTTATGGGTCTCCACGATCGTCGTGAGGGGTGTGCCGAAATGGCCCGAGGCCGCCATGCGAACCCTGCCACTGGGGCCTTCGGTGGAGCTCCCTATGGGGCCACGATCCTCGTGAGGGGTGTGCCGAGATGGCCCGAGGCCGCCATGCGAACCCTGCCAGTGGCGCCTTCGGTGGAGCTCCCTATGTGGCCACGATCCTCGTGAGGGGGGTGCCGAAATGGCCCGAGGCCGCCATGCGAACCCTGCCACTGGAGCCTCCGGTGGAGCTCCCTATGGGGCCACGATCCTCGTGAGGGGTGTACCGAAATGGCCCGAGGCCGCCATACGAACCCTGCCACTGGGGCCTTCGGTGGAGCTCCTTATGGGGCTAGGAAGCGTTGTGCTGGGTGGGTGAAACGCAAGGAGGAGGGGGAGGAGGAGCGGGAGCGGCGGGAACGCGGGGCACCATCTCTTCAAAACGAGGACCCAACACCACAGGATGGTTGGGAAATGCTGGGAATCCCGTTGTTTGTGTGTATTTATTTGTGTGTCCCAGGGCCCCTTCAGTTTAGCTGATCCCCATCCCCATCCCCATCCCCTTCGAGACCCCCACCAAGTTACCCCCCCAGTAAGGGGATACACCCCTCGAGGCCCGAAGGGAACGACCTATATCCCCATCCAGGGGGGGTAAATCGGCCAGTGGGGCCCAGGCCACGCCGCTGGGGATGGGGATCGATTGAACGATGCTCAGGGGGAGGGGGACCCAGGGATCCAACGCATCAAGCAGTGGCGAAGCGTCCTGGCTCGCTTATAGGCCCACCAAAAAGTGGTCCAATAACTTCTTGTGGTCTGCACGAAGTGTTCTTAGAGCACTTCTGGCTGGGGCTGTCTTCCTTCAACGCATCGGGCTGATGTTATAAGAACTTTTCTTTTGTGATTCGAACATGTTTGGGTTCTACGAAAATTTCTTGGCAGGCTTATAGGAATGCCGGGACGCTTGGCCCCTGCTCAGGGCGGAGGATGCTCGCCCCTTACATTCGGCTTCTAGAGGTCTTCATCGGGCCCCAGGACTGTCAGGGAACGGCTCCACATGAAAAAGTTGCCCTGGGGAAAGGGTCGGGCCTTCCAGGAACCCCGTAATGGACAAAATCACGGCATCGGATCTCTGGGGAGACCCTCAGATCCTTGCGCTGCAATTTTTCCACACCGGGCGTTTTTGTCAGGTTTCGGGGCCCGGGGCCCTCACAGATCGATCCGGCTCGAGAAATGACGCAGAACGATCGGGTATATGGCTCTGGACGTGATTTTTGAGACTGTTTTTTTCGCTACGCCGGATTTCGCGGGAGGGAGGAGGAGGAGGAGGAGGAGGAGGAGGAGGAGGAGGAGGAGGACGATGCGAAGGGAGGGGAGGCCGAGCAGTTATCGACGAAAACAAAGCAGCGTAAGCATATTCCCACGGACTCTGTCCCCTGGCGAGCCACGCGCGCCAGGGAAGTCCGCGTGGACGTTCGGCATCAGGGTTTTGTGTTCCGTCGGCCAGGGGCAGCGATAGGCACAGGGGGGGGATGGGCACAGGGGGTAGGCACAAGGGGTAGGCACAGGGGGGGATAGGCACAGGGGGGGATGGGCACAGGGGGGGATAGGCACAGGGGATAGGCACAGGGGGTAGGCACATGGGGGGGATCGGCACACGGGATCGGCACAGGGGATGGGCACAAGGGGTAGGCACATGGGGGGGATAGGCACAGGGGGGGCTAGGCACAGGGGGGGATGCATCGGCATGCAATCGCCCACTGAGCGCCGACAGGGGTCTGGTAGCCCCAACCCGCCCAGGCAGGTGCGGATCCACTGTCGGGGGCCTATCGCCGATCTATCGGCGATGTATCGCCGATTCCAGGTCGATGCATCCCCCCCTATGCCAGTCCCCCCTTTATCGTTGCCCCCCATTCGAGCAGGAGGGGGGCGACGAAGACGACGGGGAGGCGGAGGAGGAGGAGGAGGAGGAGGAGGAGCAGTTGAAGGAGAAGAAGGAGACGAGGACCAGAGTAGGCCTAGATTGCGACGGCGATGCTGCAGTGCGCCCTCGCGTCCACCAGCCCCGCCCCAGGCTCCGTGCGTCCTGACCCGTTTTCTCTCCCACCGCGGGAACTGCCCTCGTGAATGACGAGTGCCTGGTGGACCTGCCACTCGGAGGAGACGGAGGCGCCGTGCTGCAGAGAAGTGCGAGTCGGTATGGTGGCACATGTCAGGGCCGTGTCCGGCCATGGCACCATCTGGACATTGCTACACTTAAGTCGGGCGCGTCCCTCTACAGGAGGAATATTCAAAGCTAGTAAAAAATTAGTCTGGGGACGATTTGTTGACCATTCCTGGACATTGCTGAATATGTTTGACTATTTGTAATTCTTCGCCCACAATAGGGGGGCACGCCCGACCTAAGTATGATGACATATGCCAGAGAAGTGTCCAGCCATGGCTCCGTCTGGACACCGCTATACCCTGCACCCGTGCACGTCTGGCACCCCTGCGGAGTTCTAGTCGCATGCTCTGGGGAAGTCTGAAGCGATCGTCCCGCTTGAGAGGAGCCAGCCTCCATCCGAATACAGTCGGGGCGCTGAAGAAGGAGCCCTTTTCGTTGGGGAGGGGCTCGGTGTTCCTTGATTGTTCTACAGCTTGCCTTAGGTTTTCACGAGGTTTTCCATGGGAGATCGAAGTGTAACTTATGGGGAAAAAAGGGCCTCGTTCCTTATTTAGGGTTCCTTAGGTTAACGCCCAGACTGTAGCGCGAGCACGATTTGGATATTCGGATCGTTGACCTTGAGGAAGTCGCAAGCGACAGCCGCAGTTTGAAAGCAGCACGCCCTTTATTTTTTCTGCAGCTGGGAAATCTGAAAACGAATGTGCGTGGCGTGACGGCGACAGTCGCAATTTGAGAACGGCCTTCATGTTCTGTAAAGTTGGAAGTTTTGGAAACGAGTGCGCGTGTGCGTGTCACCTCAGCGAGGAGAGAGCATTTTGTTTGGGTGGAGGGCGAAGGGAGAAATCTGAAATGCCGTTTCGAGAGATGGATCGATCGATTTTCGAGGCGCAGAAGCCCATATTGAGTTCATCCTGAGCCCTCCACCCTAGGAACATGCTCAGCGTGTGGCCGCTGGATTCCTTCAGCACCAGGACAGTCCATGGGAAGGAATGCGGGAGCGAAACGTCTGGCCTGGCCTTTGGACGCATCTAGTGGGGCGACGGGGGGAGTTGTCCATCGGGAATAAGGAGAGACGAGGAGGAGGAGGAGGAGGAGGAGGAGGCGGACGAGGAGGACGAGAAGGACGAGGAGGAAAAGGAGGAGGAGGAGGAGGCGGAGGCGGAGGAAGAGGACGAGGAGGAGGAACACGACGAGGAGGAGGACGAGGAGGAGGAGGAGGAGGAGGAGGAGGAGGAGGAGGAGGAGGAGGGGGAGGGGGAGGAGGAGGATGAGGAGGGAGGGAAGGAAGAAGGAGGAGGAGGAGGAGGAGAAGGAGGAGGAGGGGACCAGCGTACTGCACCCAGTGTGTGGCGGTGGTGTTGCAACGCGCCTCCTCCCGTCATCAGTCCCCTCTCCATGTTTCCCTGCGCGCATGTGTTGGTCACTGCTCGCGGCGGCCCCCCTTTGAAAGGCGATCGCCCCCCCTATGAGGCTGCCGTTCCGGCGGGAGCTCCGTCACGAAAAGGAAACCGCCCCTCGAGAGTTGCCAGGAGGACGGCAAGGCGGGGTCTTGGAGTGCGGAGGCGAGCCCGGCGACGGCCCCTTCGTGGAACCAGGCGGGGGCCGCCTTCCATCCATGAGGCCGGTGCACCTCTTCCAGCCTCCAGGCCCACAGTAGAGCCAGGTCTCCGGCGAGAGCAGCACGTTTGAAAGGCGCCACCCTTCATCTGAGGCGTTCAGGAGGAGGAGGAGGAGGAGGAGGCGGAGGAGGAGGGAGGAGGACGAGGGAGGAGGGAGGAGGAGGAGGACGAGGAGGAGGACGAGGACGAGGACGAGGAGGAGGAGGAGGAGGAGGAGGGTCGAAGGAGTTGGCATCTCTTCCTCGGCGGAAGGCGGTGGAAGGCTGCTGGGAGGCGGCGCAAGTGAAGCGAGGCCGGCTCCGCCCGCGGAGGCCAGCGGAAAGCTGGCGGAAGCCGGCGGAAGCAAAGAGCGTGGGGTATAGCCAGGTCCCCAGGTAATTCAGGGGACCCGGTTAGTAGTACAGTCGGGGCGCTGAAGAAGGAACCCTTCTCGTTTGGGAGGGGCTCCGTGTTCCTTAACTGTTTCACAGTTTACCTCCTGTTTTCCGTAGGTTTTCGATGGGAAATCGAAGTTTAATTCATGAATAATGGGGCCTCGTTCCTAATTTACGGTTCCTTAGGTCAACGCCCCGACTGTAGGGTCCCGGAGCCCCTAAATTGGCCAGAATCACTAAACCAGGTCCGCCGCAGTTGGTGTTTTGTCGGGTGACGGCAGTTCCTGTTAGTGGAACGGGCGGGGGGGGGGGGGGCGTCCCCCAGTACACATTACTAAACCAGGTCCCGCTAGACCCAATTCTGCTAACGCCCGACAAGAGACAGCAAGGTTTTTTGGATTCAGGGTTTCCAGCACCCGCCATCAAGTTCACAATTGTGGTAATGTGTGTTGAGGAAGTCTCAGGCTACAGCCCCATCCTGAAAAGGTACCGGCCTTCAACCTTGTAGGTATTGGAAGTTTCCAAAGCACATGTGCCTGGCGCTGAGGCGGGAGCCACATCTCGAATCCGAACCGTCCCCCACCCGTGTAATTGTTGAACGTGTTGTGGAGGACGATCAATGGAGAGGAAGCATGGTGCCAAATAGCTTCCAGATGTCTAAAATGATTCAAACATGTTTTGCATATGTAAAAACATGTGTGGCACATTTTTACAACATGTTTCGCACATTTTAAACACAGTTTTAATTCAATGCTAGGATTGTTAGAGTGTCCATTGTCATGGTATCCACAATGAAAGTGTTAAAGACGAATGTGCGCGGCGCTGAAGCGAGAACATTGTGGGAGGCTTACAGCTTCGGGATAGGATGTTGAGAGGAGGTCGCAAAGAGACGCCGAGCTCGGCCTGCGGACACGCTTGGTGGCGCGGCAGGGAGTCATCCATAAGGACACGGAGTCTAGGGCGAGCAGGAGCGGACGGAGTGAAACGTTCATGATGATGTTGAGGACCCGGATGACGATGAGGATCAGGCTGGTGGTGTTGCTGTTGTTGGTGATGATGATGTTGATGATGATGATGAGGAGGAGGAGGAGAAGGAGGAGGAAGAGGAGGAGGATCATCTAGGTTCGCCTTAAAAGCGCCCTGGGCGCTGTTTTGCGTTTTCTACGTTGGGCTCT